GGAGAGAAGTGCCAGAACAACCAGAAATATTCCACTTCATTCTTCCTGCTGCAGCAGGCCCCTTAGTGCTGGCAGGTTAAGAAATACTTTTTTATTAGTAAAATCTAGAATCCCAGATTAAAAAGAGTAACATTTGGCAGCTTAAAATCTAAGAGAGCTAAGAACTTATGTTTGCTTTAATAACATATGTCCAAGTTCAGAGTGATATTCTCTGTAGATCATTTAAGGACTAAGAAAATCAGGGCTGGTGCTGCGGTATAGTGGGTAAACCAGCTTCCTGGGATGCCAGCATCCCATAAGGGTGCCGGTTTTTGTCTCATCTGTTCCACTTGTGATGCAACTCCCTGCCAATGTCCTGAGAGAGCAGGGTAAGATGACCCAAGTGTTTGGGTCTAGGCCACCCACGTGGGAGACCTAGATGAAGCTCTTGGTTCCTGGCTTTGGCCTGTTCAGCACTGGCTATTGTGACCATCTGGGAAGTGAACAAGAAGACTGGAAGATCTCTCCGTCTCTCCCCCACTCTCTTTGTAAATCTGTCTTTCAAACAGATGACTAAATCATATTTAAAAAAAAGAAAAGGAAAGAAGAAAGAAAAGGCCAGTTCCCTTAGGTTACTTTGGGGATAAGGTGGTATGAACAACAGTAGATAACAGGCATATATCACCATCACCAGAGACTTACTCAGCTTATTGAGGATCGCACCCTAAGTGCATAGAGTAAGGAATTCAACTGGGCTGAAACATGGGCATTAGTTTTAAAAGTCACCAGTGAACAGACATTCCTCTCTGTCTTTCCCTCTCTCTGTCTGGAACTCTACCTCTCAAATAAATAAATAAATCTTTAAATCTGTTGGAAGTAATTTTCCTGTTTTTATTTTCAAAACAACAGAAACTCCAGATATTTGTGAAATCCTTCTGGATATTTAACCACTGATTTGGAAACCAAAGTAAAATATATATATGATTTATCTGAACAATTAATAGAGTGGGATCTACATGCTTGTAAAGGTTCCTTTAATACTAAATTATCTACAATAAAAATATCTAAGTTAAGAACTTTCCACACTGGCTCCTAAAGTTATTTTATTTCTACAGTTGGAAATTTCACCACTCATAAGTCAAAAGCCTAATCAAACTGTTCAATGCAACAAAAGGTTTGCCAGTCAAAAAACCAAAATCACATAATTGAGATAAAGTCAGTAGATGCATTTGTCATGCAGCAGAAGAAGCACTTAAGAATTAAATTTTACAATTTTTGGCTGAATACATCTCTATTTAATATGTGTGGACATGGGGTGGGCTTTTTGCACAGCAGTTAAGACACTGCTTGTGATGACCATGCTCCATGCCAGAGTGCGTGGCTCCTGTGCTCCTGTGCTTCAGATTTAGCTTCCTGCTCATGCGCACCCTGGGAGGCAGCATATGATGGCTCAAGTACTTGTGTCCCTACAACCCACGTGGCAGAATCCAGCCTCCTGGCTTAGCCTATTCAGCTCTGGCTGTTGTGGACTCCTGGAGAGTAAGCCAGCAGATGGAAGATCTCTGTCTCTCTGCCTTTCAAACAAAATGAAAATAGTTGTAATATGGTCAGAATTTTCAGGTTAAAATTTGATCTAATAAGTGAAATGATATCATTTACCTTAATACAGATACCACAACCAATACAAAGAGCTTCAGAAATCCATGATATTTTTCTCTGGGGGGGAACCTCTATGCATAATTTTCCTGGTAAAGGAAAAGATACCATTAAGTCATTTTCCCTGATACTCTTATTTTTTTAACATTGTTATTTAGGTAATGCTGGTTCCAAATTTCTACACAGAAGCAGATTTTCAGAAATAATGGCCACAGAAAGAAAGACATTCACTACAATTTTAAATTTATTACTACTTTCATGAATATCCTTATCAATTATTAGGGAGATGACTCTCATGCATAATTTATTTTGTTTAATTTACTACTTAAATATAGCAAATCTTAAAATGTGTTTACTTTTTTAAGCAGATCTGAATGTTTAATTAATAGAACAAAACATGCCTTTGAAATGGTAAGGCACACCACAGAACGAAATCAATGTTAGGTATGTTGGTGAAATTCAAAACCATTATGTAATCTCTTTTATAGAAGTAAAAACTAAACTTTTTTTAGGGATATTAAAATGGAATTTCAAATAGCATGGGAGACAATAACACATGAAATCTAAAGTGTTTTTTTGTTTTTTTTTTTTTTTTGACAGGCAGTTAGTGAGAGAAAGAGAGACAGAGAGAAAGCTCTTCCTTCCATTGGTTCACTCCCGATCTGAAGCCAGGAGCCAGATGCTTCCTCCTGGTCTCCCATGCGGGTGCAGGGTCCAAGCACTTGGGCCATCCTCCACTGCCTTTCCGGGCCACAGCAGAGAGCTAGACTGGAAGAGGAGCAACTGGGACAGACTCTGGCGCCCCGACTGGGCCTAGAACCTGGGGTGCCAGCGCCACAGGCAGAGAATTAGCTAAGTGAGCCATGACGCTGGCCTCAAGTTTCTTTTAAGGTTCATTAAGTCTATATAAGTACATGTAAAGTAACAACTACTTAACATAGCCCATAAGGACTACTAACCACCCTGTATTGTTGGAAATTTATTTAATCTTCTAAACACAACATTATAGTTTATTCCTATTAAGTTCTTTATTCTTTCTTAAGAAGTGAACATTTACAATTTTTGGTAGCTCTTCCCCCATGACTTATGGTAATTATTGGACTTTGCAGAACAGCAAGACTCTCAGCAGCCTGAACTCTAGTTTGATCTCACATTCTATGAACTATTAAATATTGATACAGTCAGCCCTACATATCTAGGGGTTCCATATGCATGGATTCAACCAACCAAGGATGGAAATACCTGGGGGAAAAACTGTCTATAGTGAACAATGCAGACCTCTTGTCATTAGTTCCTAAATACAGTAATGACAGCTATTAACATGGCACTTATATTGTGGTAGATATTATATGTAATCTACAGATGATTTAACGTACATAAGAGGACACACAGAGGAAATATACACATATTCTGCCATTTTATATAGGGAACGTGAGTACCACTGGATTTTGCTATCTGTGGAGGTGGAAGTAAAGGTAGGGGTCCTGGAACTAACACCTCCCAGATACCAAGGGATAAGTGTACACTGTGTATGATTTGCTTTTGTTCGATAAAATTAGCTCATTTAGTCACAAAGCAATAAAAGAAATTGAGAACAAACTCTGGATTTCTACATTTTATTATTCAAAGAAACTAATGGAGAAAAATAGAGTATATGATAAACCCCAAATAAAACTATTAAATTGCTTTCTTTCTTTCAAAACCTGTTATCTTTACTTATCAACAGAAATAGCTTACGCACTTGAACCACAGGGCAACTCTTTTTGCACTCCTGTCGACATTTCTTAGGTTTACACTTGTCATGGTTGACAATAGCAATTCTCGTTAATTTGTCTGCCATAGTTGTGAGATATTAAGAATTATTAAGCTTATATTAAGCTTCTATTAAAATAAAAATAAGCAAAATTATAGTGAATTCTATGTAATTAGTTTAGAGAAATAATTCATAGATATAAAAGTTATGAGGACATTAATGAGCATTACAAGCAGATGACATAATGATCTAGAAAACACTAGATCTAGACACACTAAACATTAAACACTATTACTAGGTCAAATGCCTGCCTTCCAAACATATTTTTGCACATTTTCCTATCACTTTCCTAATTCAGAGCATCATCTCTGGCATGTTGTATTAACACAATGAATTTCTTTTTCCCTGGTGTTGAAGAATGTATCTAAAGGTTCTGGTCTTAGTGTTTCCGGATCCTGTGGCTCACCCAATAGAAATTCTTCTGTAGGAAGTCATGTTTTTCATCTGTTGAGAACATAGCATTTATAGTAACAAAACATTGACAGCGATCTAAATGTCCTACAAAGAAGCGGTTAAATAGTTAGGGTTATTGTCAGCATACACTATGTAGCCTTATAATAATGTATATTTTAATAAGCTTCATTTAAAAATATAAAGTTAACTGAGATACTATACGAGTTAATCGTTATTAGATGATTTGAAGCACTCAGCAAAATGTGTAAAAGATGACGTCCTCAGCTCTCCTGGGCGGGCACAGGGGAAGAGGAAGTGGGTGGAACGCGGGGAGCCTCTTTGTTCACTTGGAATGTAGGGCCTCAGTCGCCTTGACTCCCAGCGAGTTGGCAGCAAAGGGAAGTCTCCCTGCGCAGCTGCCCCTCGACTTTTGACCCTTGTAGAAGGATATTGAACTAACCCAATCACGCCCCATGGGCAATGACCTGGGCCTTTCTGGCCCACCCCAGCCTGTCCCCTCGCAGGAGGGCAAGGACCAGCGGGAGACGCCTGACCGCCACCCACCCGGCCGCGCCCCGTTGCCGACGCCCCCTGGCCACCAGGTTCCCCGCGGTGACCCTTCTCCAGGCTGCCAGCCCTCCGGGAGGCCTGCCCAGCTGCGTGGTCAGACTCCGTTCAGTGGGTTTGGAATAGCGCCTCGCAGACGCTACCCGATCCAGCAGCCCAGGTATTCCCGTGTGGGTTGCCTGCCGACCGTGTGCTGGAACGGCAGCCCCAAGAAGCCTGTGCTGTCTGTTGGTAACTCCAAGATGGTGTGTAGGTCGGGGACGGTGAGGGTCCCCCCTCTTGACCGCAGGCTGACTCGCCGCCCAGGACCTGGGCTGAGCATCAGCTCCACCCTGCCCTCGCAGTCGGCTAAGGCTCAGGACCCCTGTGCCCCGCAGAGTGGTGCCACCGCCCTCCCAGAGGGGAAGAGGAGGAGGAGCCCTGGGGGGGAAGCCCAAATCCTCCTGGCGGGCCCGGAGACTAAGGGAGGCTGCCCTGCTGGCCCTGGGCAGGTGCAGTCAGCCGTCTGGGCCCCGCTGACCGGTCCCCAAGACTCAGACGTCCACTTGAGTAAGAGACCCCGCCACTCTTGTGAGAGCTCCCCGGAGCGCTCCACCATGGCTGGCATCCCTGTGCCCGTCCGCAACGCCATTAGCAGCTCCTACAGCTCCACTGGCGGCCTGTTGCGGCCGAGGAAGCGGGGCTGGCCCACGTCGAGTGCCTTCTGCGGGCCGGCCGCCTCCTGCTCCAAAATACCAGAGAGGCCAGCAAAGGTGAGTGGGGAGGAGGCGCTGGGGCCTCGCTCCAGTACCTCACCTCCCTTGGTGACGGACAGGGAGTCCCAGAGAGGAAGAGCGGTAGGTGCAGCCGCGGAGAAACCAGGCTTGCGGAATTCCCCACCTACACCTGGCGGCTCCTGGCCGCATAAAAGGAAGTTTCCTGAGCAGCTTTCCGGGGGAGGGGACCTGGGGACTCTGCCTCCCGCGCCCCGGCTGGGCTATCCTGTCACTCTGGGAGATGGTGACATGGCAACTAAAGGTTCATCTCGGTGGCTTAACAAGCCCTTGGAGCACAGGATGGATGCTGCCCAAGAGTCTGCCCCCGAGAGCCCACCCCGCACTCAGCCTCCCAGCGCGCTCCCGCTGCCTGCAGCCAGCACTGCGCCCTCATCAGCTGCCTTCTGGGGCCCGATAAAGAGGCAGACTGCTCGGCGGTTTCCAGCCTTCCCAGAATATGCTGGAGTAGCAGCGACGGTGGCCCCTTCGCCTGCGAAGATAGCCCGCCTAATGGGCCCTGTTTCCTGTCCAGCCTTCCCAGAATATGCTGGAGTAGCAGCGACGGTGGCCCCTTCGCCTGCGAAGATAGCCCGCCTAATGGGCCCTGTTGACTCTTCACGGCCACAGCGTCTTCCCAACTCTTTAGGCCTCAAGCCCGCAGCCCCTTGTGCGGGACTGATCTCTGCTCCTGTTATGATGGCAAGTGATACCAAGTCCCCGCCAACCCTCCGGGCTGAGACATCTGCCAAAGTCACCATGCCACAGGGCCCGCTCCCTACCTCCTCTCCACCGATGCTGCTGGACAAGCCACGCACTCCACCTCCTGACGCTGTCTGCCCTCGTGGTGCTGCTCCTGAGAACTTGACCGCACCCATGCTGAAGGCCATGTGTACCACCACATCTGGAAGTCAGAGTGCAGGCCCTTTGCCATCTGGCCCCATACTCACAACTCCAACTTCTTCCAGCTCTACTATGGTGACAACAACCTGTACCTCCATCCTGAATTTAAAGCCGGCACCTCTGCGCTTGGCCAGACACGTCAAGCAGACCACGATTTCAACAACCACACCAACATCAACTGCTACAACCACAATCCAGGCTCCTGCCTCCTCTCGCTGGGCTCCAGCCTCAACTGCTCCAGCCTCCACTAACCGGGCCCCAGCCTCAACTGCTGCAGCCTCCACTAACTGGGCCCCAGCCTCAACTGCTGCAGCCTCCACTAACTGGGCCCCAGCCTCAACTGCTGCAGCCTCCACTAACTGGGCCCCAGCCTCAACTGCTGCAGCCTTCACTAACTGGGCCCCAGCCTCAACTGCTGCAGCCTCCACTAACTGGGCTCCAGCCTCAACTGCTGCAGCCTCCACTAACCGGGCCCCAGCCTCAACTGCTCCAGCCTCTACTAACCGGGCCCCAGCCTCAACTGCTGCAGCCTCCACTAGCCGGGCCCCAGCCCCAACTACTGCAGCCTCCACTAGCTGGGCCCCAGCCTCAACTGCTCCAGCCTCTACTAACTGGGCTTCAGCCTCAACTGCTGCAGCCTCCTCTCACCAGGCGCCTGCATCCACCAGCCGGGCTCCTGACGCTCTCTCCTCTGGTGGTGGTAGTGCTGCTGCTAACGACTTGTTTACAATGTTTGAAGCGATGTGTGTGACTGCACCTGGAAATAAGAAAAAGGGCCCTTTGCCATCTGGCCCCATACTCACACCTCCAACTTCTTCCAGGTCTAACACCATGTGGACAACAAGTTTAAAGCTGGCACCTGTGCGCTTGGCCAAACACATCAAGCAGACCAATGGAGCAACAACGACACCAGCCTCAACTGCTGCAGCCTCCTCTCACCAGGCTCCTGCGTCCACCAGCCGGGCTCTTGACGCTCTCTCCTCTGGTGGTGGTGCTGCTGCTGCTAATGACTTGTTTACAATGTTTGAAGCGATGTGTGTGACTGCACCTGGAAATAAGAAAAAGGGCCCTTTGCCATCTGGCCCCATACTCACACCTCCAACTTCTTCCAGGTCTAACACCATGTGGACAACAAGTTTAAAGTCGGCACCTGTGCGCTTGGCCAAACATATCAAGCGGACCAATGGAGCAACAATGACACCAGCCTCAACTACCCCTGCCTTGTCTAGCTGGGCTCTAGCCTCAACTGCTCCAGCCTCAACTGCTGCGGCCTCCACTAGCCGGGCCCCAGCCTCAACTGCTCCTGCCTTGTCTAGCCAGGTTCCTGCCTCCACTGCAGCTGCCTCTGCCACAACTACGAGTACCAGAAAAGACTCTGTTTGGCTTTGGTGTCAGCGATATGACCAGCGCCCTGAAAAGAAAACCCACTTCTGGCTTTGGTGTCAGCGATGTGACCAGCCCCTTGGCGACCGAGACTGTTTTTGGCTTTGGTTTCAGCACCCCGAGCAACATAACTGTTTTTGGCTGTGGGGTCAACGGTGTGACCAGCCCCCTGACAGCAATGAGTGCTTTTGGCTATGGTGTCAGCGATGTGTACAAGGTCCTGGGCAACCTGAGTCCTTTTGGATTTGGGTTCAACGTAGTGACCAACGCCCTGAGCTGTGGGGCTAACAGCACAGCCTTTCCTCTTTGGTGCTCCATGTGCCTCATTGCCTGCTTTACCCCAGCTGTGGGGTTCTATATTCCAGTTTTGCAAGCTTCATACTAGGCCAATATCAACCACAATCACTGGTTTTGGCCAGTCCCTCCTCAGGGAAGCTAAGATAGTTTCCTGTGCTGCTTTTCTTCCTTGCCTGGGATCCGTGTAGGGAAGATCACCCCTATTCTATGTTAGGGAGTCCAGACCAATGAGCCATACTTTCCGATGGTATTTTAGTTCTTCTTCTCAGAGTTCTCTCCAACCCTTCCCCATTCCTCCCTTTTTTCCAAAACTATATA